GGTAGAACAATTCAAACCAAGTTGATTAATACCAATTTTTAATTGTGTAGTCAGGCGGATATACAGACAAAATGGTTCCGTTTATTGCCATTTGGCTACAATCCTAAAGTATCTCACCTTCAATAGAATTGCCTTTTTTTATTTAAACCGAGACATAACACTAAAAAATATAATTGTGAACACCTGATGCTCACGTCTAATTGTAGGTATGTTTGTGTTACAGATGGTATGCATTTTGTTTGTTGGAGCGATGGTGTGCTTCTTTTGCCGTTCTCCACAGATATTTTCCGGCTGGGGTGATGAGATAAGAACCTATTTTGACAAAACGGACGACAAATAGTATGTTTACTTAATGGCAATAAGAAATAATAGAATTTTCAAGTAGTTGAACGAATCGTACAATTGAAGTAATCTACTAAGCAAGTATATTTCCTTAATGTTAAATAGAAACTTAATAGACTCGTCAAGTAGTTGAACGAATCGTACAATTGAATTAATCTACTAAGCAATCTCCTTCAGTAGTTCATTCTGAACGTAATAATTTCATTGGTACGTCTTGTTCCTCTGCTAGTTCCGTCATAAAATTAAATGCTCGATTGAACGTGTAACAACTGTTTTAATCGATGCCAAGAAAATAGCTCATACAGGCTAGTTTTTGATCATATTTCTATAGATTTATTTTCACTAATACGTTTACGTTTAAAATTTTAATGATCTGTCGGAGTTTTGAGCGAATGAATAAGATCATACAATTTCAAAAGTCCACAGAAAACAGATATGATATATTGAAACCGTTGAGAGGTAATTATTAAATTATTAGAATAATTGAGTTTAATATAGGAGTACACTTAATTTATTATAGTAACTTTTTAAATAACTTTATTTAAGACCCGTTATTTATTATGATGATAGTCGTTAGACCTAACACTAGTGTTTATTAATATTCATTATATTTAATATCAATAACCATAACTTTATAATACTTAAAACATATTCATACCCCTTCTCCTATATAATGTCTAATATCATCTTGGTCTTAGTCAAAACGCTTTTCGGAAACCGTTAAGATATCAAAATAGTGATTAAGGAAAAGTCGAGTCGAATGAATGTCCAAGTGAAAATTTGACTAAATTAACTAGATAACGAAATACGATACCCGGCACAAAAGTAAAACCTACGCATAAAACGAAAATAGGTTTCGAAGGAGGTGAAGTGTGTGGGGGAGAATCTTAACCATAGCAACAGGGTCTAGTGTCATCCCGCTGTTGACATTTCCATACAAATTCACTTCCCTCCATTTGTAAATGCACTTTTATTATATCGAAAATATATAGGATTTTTATATCATAAAATAAATCATTTAACAACATCAACAACTATATACACACGTAGTATATTAATTTAGCACTCGTATTTACTATAACTGACACTCCTATTATTATATCTTAATAAGATTAACATTAACGTGATAAATAAATTATGAAAATGTTGTTAACCGGTAAATAACTTTCTAAATGGGTAACATGTCCCTTGTATTAATTTTGTTTTTATTTGGTTCAAAATTAATATTCATTAAAGTATAAACCCAGATTATACCTGTGTAATGGACGCCATATTGGGTTTATTTTCGTACCGGGCACGTGTACCCAATCTAATCCAAATTAGCTAAACTTTGCTATTCTTTTATGTGACCTAATTTACGCATGTGTCAATACGTTTAACAACCTTCAACTCCAACCAACCAACATAGGCGCTTATTACACTACCCAATCTATCGGGCCCGATCCATCGGGTACACTGTAAATTGGGTAGTCTAATCGCAGTTAGAGAGTTAGGGTCCCGATATCGGGTGAACGTGGGCGCCCGATCGCCCGATGAGAGTTAGGGCCGATTTATTGGGTAATGTGATCGCTGTTAGGGTGTAAGGCGCCTATTACACTACCCAATCTATCGGGCCCGATCCATCGGGTACACTGTAAATTGGGTAGTCTAATCGCAGTTAGAGAGTTAGGGTCCCGATATCGGGTGAACGTGGGCGCCCGATCGCCCGATGAGAGTTAGGGCCGATTTATCGGGTAATGTGATCGCTGTTAGGGTGTTAGAGCGCTCAGTCGGTTGTTGCGCAGCGTGCGTGTGAGACGTCAGTGAACGACAACGAAATTTGCGAACAGACAAAAATGTCTTCTCAAAAGGAAAAGAAATAATATTAAGTGTAATTTAATATTATTACTTTTTCTTATATATATATATATATCTCTCAATATGATATAATGTTTTAAACATTTCTAGATAGCCTTTGCATGTGTCTGGTACAATTATAAATTTTATATAAATTACAATAATAAAAACTAATACTATAATAAACTTTATATTATTGTTGTGCCCGATAGGGTCCATAGTGAGACTAACTTAATTGTGTAATATTATTTTAAATTACCTATGGAAAAAATAAACTTATTGAGTATTTATACTTTAAGTCATGATATGCATTTCCCGTTGCTAAAAATTTTAAGGTTACAGCACAGCTAACCGCTGTTTTGTGCTATATAAGGTATGACTAAGTTTAATATATGATCAAATTGTGCAGAACTCATTCTGTAGTAGTTCAAACTGCATAGTAGGTCATTTAGAAGCAAATATTTTTCACCCAACATTTTGTTTTATTATTTACGCCTGCAGTTAAAGTATGGGCTATGCCAAGTTTTTGGTACTTTGTGAGCGAAGGAGCCATCCTTTCAACGCCACGTTTGCATGCCAACTGAGTTAGGGAGGCGATCTAGTGCAGTGTAATCACAACGACACCAACCGCCCTAAATCGCGGCCGATATATCGTGCCCGATAGATTGGGTAGTCTAATAGGCGCCTTAGAGCGCTCAGTCGGTTGTTGCGCAGCGTGCGTGTGAGACGTCAGTGAACGACAACGAAATTTGCGAACAGACAATATATATATATATATATCAATATAAGAAAAAGTAATAATATTAAATTACATTTAATATTATTTCTTTTCCTTTTGATGATAAAATGTTTTAAACATTTCTAGGTAGCCTTTGCATGTGTCTGGTACAATTATAAATTTTATATAAATTACAATAATAAAAACTAATGCTATAATAAACTTTATATTATTGTTGTGCCCGATAGGGTCCATAGTGAGACTAACTTAATTATGTAATATTATTTTAAATTACCTATGGAAACAATAAACTTATTGAGTATTTATACTTTAAGTCATGATATGCATTTCCCGTTGCTAAAAATTTTAAGGTTACAGCACAGCTAACCGCTGTTTTGCGCTATATAAGTTATGACTAAGTTTAATATATGATTAAATTTTGCAGAACTCATTCTGTAGTAGTTCAAACTGCATAGTTGGTCATTTAGAAGCAAATATTTTTCACCCAACATTTTGTTTTACTATTTACGTCCGCAGTTAAAGTATGGGCTATGCCAATTTTTTGGTACTTTGTGAGCGAAGGAGCCATCCTTTCAACGCCACGTTTGCATGCCAACTGAGTTAGGGAGGCGATCTAGTGCAGTGTAATCACAACGACACCAACCGCCCTAAATCGCGGCCGATATATCGTGCCCGATAGATTGGGTAGTGTAATAGGCGCCATACATTGCTTGGATAAGTTTGATGTTAAGAAACCAAGTAAGACAGATTGTATAAACGACGAATGTACAGTGTTGTCTCAAACATGTTGGACCAAAGGTGTCTGACTGACTTAAGATAGAAGTTGTATATATATTAAGTCGATGAAGAAACTTTTTAAGCGCGATTTACGTAACTCCTCAGCGGTATCTTTAACTGTGTGAAGCTATCCTTTTTGTGTTGCTATCGACTTATCATGACAATGTGATGTGTGCTTCTTTGCTAATTCAGTAGTTACAATAAAACTCATATTCAAATCATAAATAACAAATTGAGGCACGTGATGTAAAAGTTTCGCTTTTCATTAATAGTTACCACAACAGCTGACAGTTTTTAAGCTGACTAGACCAAAAACCGAACCTGGGTCCATAAATATAACGTTACACCTTTTTAGTGCAATATAGGAATTGAAATGTTTCGAGCATCTATATATCCTTACTGTGAAGAGCCTGAAAAATAGGTATTTTTTACAAAACCCGTTACACAGGTCACCAGCGCATAAATAAGTATTTTATACATGGAACCCCAATAAATATTATTTATTGTTCACAGCGTTCGTGATTCTGCTCTAGCAATGGCAATCTGCGTGATTATGTTAACTCTGCCACGTTCCTTAGGAATATTTAAAAACTTTACTGCCAAATGTAAGATTTGATTTTACATATTTATTTTTTATACCATAATTATACAAGAATACCTAAATTATATAATTATACTCTGCAAAGGATACGGCGTAAATACATTTCTCAAGTTCCAAACTTTCCCCTTCATCCAAGATAATGGAAAAGTTAATTTTCTATGATATTCAACAATCTCAGGTTATAAACCTTAAGATGTTTTTAAAGATATCACAAATTTCCTTTATTCTATCTCTTTAATTATCTAATTTTATTCTTTTCAAATAAAAATCTGTTGGTCTGTCAACCCGATCAAGCTCACAAAGCGCAATGCACACATTCTATGTCTACTACTTTACAAGCTTTACGTAACTTAGTCATTATTTCTTCCAATAATATTTTCCGCAAGCGTATTACATTACCAGAAAATAGCCGTTTATTAATATGATTCCAGAAATGTTTTTATTATTGCCATCTCGTTTACTCTTTACTGTAATTATATTTAAAGTGAAAACTATCGAATTCCATAGCTACGTCGATGCGCATTCTCACGGAGTCACTCTTATTCTCACTCTTTCTCTCTCTCTCTCTCTCTTCAGTGTAGAGCTGCTTTAGTCTTGTGCAAACTGCGTTCACTTTTTCTCAATTATCTTTTTGATATCATCATTTCAATTCATTTGAGGCCTTTCGAGGGAAACTTATGACTCCACTGTCACTGTAGTATTAGTATGTTTAGTAAGTGGTGGGGGCACTCTTTCAATAGCTGGTGCGATCACACTAGTCATAGAATAAAAAATAAAATAAAATAATGCATGCAGTATATAGTGATATATATGTGGTAGCCAGATCGCATAAAATGATAATTTCATGGTGTGGCCAGCCATTTCACGAAATGGTTATTTTTCATGAAACGACCACCTAAAACGTATGGCTACATTATTAATGTAGGGTGTTCAAATAACCAGTTGGTAAATTTTACAATCTGGCCACGACATATATTTAGTGGTGTATCTATATAAGTATAACTTTTATGGTTGTCAACTAATAATTTACTATTTACTAACTTTACAGACCCCGAGGATCTTCCGAAGGGAAAGATTCTTTCAGTTCTCGACTGGAAGCTGCTGAACAGCGAAATGCCATGGAGTTTTATGTTTCTATTGGGTGATTTTCTTTTTATTTTTTAAATAACCTAGGATAAGTGTTTCGGCAAAGATTATTTGGTATGAAACTAGGTCATGATTCTCTATATCCAGACAATAGATTACTTGTATTTAAAAATTAAAGTTATTAGTGTACATTATTAAATTAAGTTTTCTATGAATTGACTATTTCATTATTTAATATCTCCAACGATATAAATTAAAAGATTTCATATTACAAATTTGGTTATTAAACAAGGCTCCTCATGAATATTAATAACTCATTCAGTCTTTGCAAACAGTGATTTATGTTGCATCACATTATTTGGATTAACTATAACATTATTGACAACTTTATCGATGACGCGCACTATCCATAAATGAAGCAACATTTGAACGGTTTCGTCGCGTTTGTATTTAGTTTTATTGACATTTCGGGCCCTTTACAGGTTCCGTGTTCACATAAGACTAAGGTGTTGATTGTATTTTTAATTAAAAGTATAGCTACCTTCAAAACAATACTATTGAACACATTAACGATACAATATATATATATAAATTTTTGCATAAGTGACAGTGTCGCACTGGGAGTGCGATATATATATAACGACTGTAATATAAATCAATTGAAATATAAAAAAAAAACATCCGAATTTTAATAGAGCTGAAGGTTGGCATATACCACCGGCTTGAGATCCAGTAATTAGTCAAAAAGAATCTCAATCCAGATCACACATTGCAAAAAACAAAGATATATTTAAGTTCATCAAATTGACCAATTTACTTTTCTTGTTGGCGTTTTTTTCACATGTTACGCCAAGACTTTCAAATTTGGAACTGGTATATTGCGGTACCCAGGGTTTAATAAATAAGTTTTTTTTTATTATTTAATATAATTACATTTATTTAATATAATAAATGTAAACGTTGCTATATAATATAAAAAAAAATGTATTGTACATGTGTCCAATAGTTTTGAAGGTAGCTGTAGCTATACTCTTAATTAAAAAGATAAAACCTTAGTCTTATGTGAACACGGAACCTGTAAAGGGTCCGAAACGTTAATGAAACTAAATACAAACGTGATGAAACCGTTCAAAAAATTTTTAATTTATTAATAATGAATTTTAATGAATCATCATCTGAAGAAACAATATTATAAACTCTCCAAACTTAGAATTCTTAAGAATCATAAAATGATGTAATAAAAGAAATGAAGAAGTCCTTACAATGAGCCTAGTTCTATTCTTAGCATGATAATCTGAAGAACTTTTCTATTGTTCGTTCCATTTTTAGGTGGCGGGTTTGCCCTCTCGGAAGGTGCTAAAGTAAGTGGATTGAATGAAAAAATAGGAGAAGCGTTAGAATTTTTAGGCAAATGGCCGAACCCCGCCGTTATTTTCGTCATTACTATCATTGTGATATTTATTACAAATTTTGCTTCCAATGTGGCCGTTGCAAACGTTATGGTGCCAATAGCAATGCAAATAGTAAGTGCTTTATTTAATTTATTTATTCATACAGAGCAACTATTGCAACATCAACAACATATACACCATCTGCAAATCGTCACTGTTCGTATTTTTAGATAGAACGCGTTCTTCTTAGTTCTATAATCCTAGTTAGAACTAGTTTTTCTGAATGTTTTTGTTAAAACTGAAAGGGTACTTGGTCAAAATTAAATTTTACCATTTATATATTTGATTTGCAGATACAACTTCTTGTCACTTCAAGCATTAGTTAAAATAAGCACTAGAGAAACTAATTAGGGATTAAAAACAAGATATAGTTTCGAATTGAACAACACCAAAGAAAAAACCAATCGTTAGTCTATATTAGCGAGCGAAGCGAGCGTGCCGCGGCGGTCGCCGGCGAGTGCCATATAATTTTTGTATTGTTCAATTTCCATATAGTAACCCGAAGCGTGGGTTATACAAAACAGTAATTGTTTTTTATCAATTTTCACTGACTCGCTTCGATAAAACGCGTCTTATTTAGTAAGAACTAGTTTTACTTAAATACAATTTTGAGCAATCGTTAATTCTAGTTTTGACAAAGTCATTTTGTAAAATCTAGGTCTAACTGGAAAAAGCATTCTAAAAACTGGTTTTAACTGTAACATATAAAATGCAAACAGTGCAAAAGTCTTTAAAGTGAAGAGTAATTTAACTTAACCCCTATTTTATTCAATGTCTTCGCTGAAATTAGGTTACATATGTAAAACAATAAATATTACAGGCCAAGCGAGTAAATGTTAACCCACTCTGGTACTGTATTGTTGCTGGTTTCTCAGCTTCATTCTGTTTTATGATGCCAGTGGGAACTCCAGGAAACTTGATAGCACAAAGTGCAGCTAATATACCGACCCCTAAAATGGTAAGTGCACCTATACAAATTCTGTTGTAGATTTATGTTTGATATTGTCAATTGAAGAAGTAATTGCGTTTTTACATTGGTCGATGGTATATGTTTGCCATGTGCGGGATATATCCGTTCCTCGTTTTTATTGGTTGTTTATTCACCAATGAGACCCCAATTGACCAGTGTATAGTCAATTGTCTCTGGTAGATCCAGACGGAAGCGACGGTTACTAGAGGCGATAGATAGTAGTAAATACTGAAGGAGAGAGATAACTGATTATGCTGTCTCTTTAAAAGGCACGGAAGAAATAAATTTATAAAATACTGTAAACACTTAATTATGAGAAGACCTCACAAAATGTTATAGTCTTAAATTGTCTCGGTAATTAAATAAAACATTTTTTACAATTTTCGTTACATGCTTTGCCTTCTAATTTTGTTCCCTTTCAATCAAAAATGCAATCGCCAGTTATAATGTAGTAAAGTAAATATGTGTTTCTTTGTCCTTTTTATCTCGTTGTGATTTAGTATTTTTACTATGTCATTGTGATTCAGTGCGAGTCAGCGTATGCGTTTGATCGATTTGTTGCTCCAGATTTGTTGCCCGTGTACATATATCTAGGTGATTAGTAGAGATACATATACAAAGCAACATACTTTATAATGTTAATTAACATTGACATTAGTACTATCGGTGGCGTAGTGGATAAGCGCCGCGGCCCGCGATCGTAGTCGTTAAGCAACTTTTGTAAGGGGCGGTCACGGGATGGGTGACCAAAAAAATTATTATCTCGAGCTACTCCGTGCTTCGAAAGGCACGTTAAGCGGTTGGTCCCGACCTCATTTGCTGACGGTAATACCCTCCAATCCGCATTGGGCCAGCGTGGAGGGTCATGGCCCATCCTCCTTAACCATCCATAAGGAAGGCCTGAGCCCCTGCAGTGGGGACGTAAAAGGGCTGGTGATTGGTATTATCAGAAATAGAAATGGTCAAAATCAAATTAAGGGTTAACAGTATAATAAAAATACTCCGATACTCTAATATGTATTGCTCTTGGGAGAAATACTTTAGAGGTTTCAGATGGTCGAATCGTTTTTATGGTGTTTCATTTTTAGTACGGGTTCAATTTAAAATCTGGCGAGTTTGGCCATGTAAGCGAAGCAGCTATTAACTCTTGGGTTACCTGTATAACTGGCAGCATTAAACAGTACATTAGACTGAAGTAAATCACTGATATTAACACACTGGATGAACACCATATTAAACTTAAATGAACGATCCCAAGTCTCATACAAATTGGGATCTATTCGATGCTCAAAGCGTCATTCTATTATAAAAACAATAGGCGCCCTGCTGGCTTACTGCATTGGGTACTCTGGTGGTTAATCCGGTGGATACTCCGGGGATACTCTGATCGATTCTCCAGTGGATACTCTGGATCGGACGGCGGTGGCTGCTTCATAGCATCGTTCTATTATAAAAAAAAAGACTTTTGATCCCTCTGATGCTTGGGGCAACCAACGTGTTAAATTTCTTGCGGTGACCAACAATACATAAATGTGATGCACTGAAAATGTAAAAAAAAAAAACTATATATAGTTTAGACAAATTTGATTTGTTTTAGAGATATATTAATTATTTACAGATAAAAGCTGGTTTTGGTGTAACAATTACAACAATTATACTAACATGGGCGTTTATGACTTATTACGCGCCCGTTATTTGGGCATTGGACACAGTTCCTGATTGGGCTAGTTAACTAATATTTTGAACAACTTTCGTCTACATTAAACTCGTTATTATAAAAACTAAGTTAGTCAATGTATTCTATTTTAATAATTCATTTATTTATGAAAAAATATCTTAAGCAGGTACTTGTAGTTAAACAATTATTTATATATTCGTATAACAGTATTAGTTATAATTTCTAATAGATTTATCAAGGCAAATTAGTGTCTTGATTACTGTTCTTTATCTTAGCTTTTTGATTGCATATAGTTAAGTCAAGATTGCTTTAAGCATTTTTCTTTCTATCTATGTCTAATAAATGCAAAGAGAACTTATATAAATTTGTTGAATTATCATTAAGGTGAATTATTTTAAATAAATGTTTACACAATGAATATTCCCTTTTTTTGTTATTTTCATACATTACAATGTTTCGAGGTTTCAGCCAAATATAGCAGCTCAACATCATCTTGCATTTTAAAATTAGTCTATGACAAATATGCATTGGCCAGATCTATTATAGATCGAAGCACAATGTCTAGTGAATTCTTTAGACCCATTTATTTGAAAACATTATGGAAAGTATATCTACGGGTTGGTGGTCGAAGCGGTATTCTTTTTTCCAATTCACCGATTAACAAACTTGCCCTATCAAATCCATTAATCGCAGAATTGAAAAAAAAGGAGCGGGAATCCATTTAACTACTTAACCATCCAAAATGCCTGAGCCCCTACAGTAGGGGCGTTAACACGTTGGCTGTACACCTACAGTATTGCTCTCACACCCCATACAAATCTACCGATCCCATCGGTGATGCTCAAAGAATCGCTCTATTACTGAGATGTCATAAGTATCACCGGTGCGATCAGTAGTTTACACTAAATAGGTTATTTGCATTTCCAATCCAAATAACATTAGATAAAACTACCCTCAATTGATACACTCGCAGTATCATTGAATAAAATACGAGCTATTCAGTTATAAAATTAATATATTGAAATTAAAAGTCAACATTGTCCTGTACAACTTTTACAATATAAATCTTTTAGTTGTATTTCATAAAACAAGAGAGGTTGCAGTTAAAATAACTTTTCTTCGTCTATTCGAAATTCGTAGTTCTCTATGACATTGAAAAATTAATGTTAAATATTGATAGCAATTCAGTTTCGTTTTAAGTATTTCAAATCGATAAGCAAATGTAAATATTATTATACAAAATCGCGGTGTGCTACGCCATTGGCGCAGCGCGGCAAAGCGAAGTAATGCACGGCGAGGAACAGAGGGGTTTGCCGCGGCTTGTCGCTCAAATGGCACACTTCACTAGCATTTGACTGTTTGTTTTTTGTTCGCTCTAAACTGCGGCGCACCATATCGCGCCTTCTTGCCGCCCACGTAGGACACCGCGTTATATGAGAACAACACAACTATTACTATTACCTGCCTCGTTAAGAGAAACTATCTTTAGTGGTAAATATTTTTCCAAATTTTCTTTCACAATTTATAATCAATTTATTCAGAGATAAAACGTATAGTTTATTCGCATGCGGCATAGCAGTTATAATATTATACTTATTTCAAGTTTAAATTTGAAGAAAAGAGACTTTTCTAACCATCTTATGAGCATGTTCTCGGCCCAATTGCATTGATTTCTACTAATAACTTTTACGTTTCTTACAATTTTTGTTTGTATTTTCTATAGTTTGGTTCAATTGATGTTTTATTACAGAATTTGGATTTATATCCAAATTGAGAAGGCTCGTCACTATTATTTCCCGAAAAGATTTCATCCAACTTCGATTTAAAAATGATAGAATAGAAGATATGTGTTGAATTGCATTATTGAACAATAAAATGCCACCTCATGAAACCAACGGATGGATTTTCTCAATGGTGAAAAGTAGCTAGAAGTGTGTGAAACTCCTTGCTTTGCTTTTTTATATTTTATAATGGAAGACAGTTTCATTATTCAGTTGCTTCCATGTCTATTTTACCGTTGGTTGCCAAAAATAGACTTTCCTTTTATCTTTCCATTTAGGTACCTACTACAATTCCATCAAAACTTTCCTGACCAATTCTCCCTTTGTTATTTGTTTCTAAGTTATTTTTGCTGGGAGCCCTTTTCTTAATTTTTCTAATTGTGCCTAAAAAATGATTATTTATATTCAACAGCTTAGTAGTCAGAATGTGTGATATATAAAAATGGTCTATCACAATAGTCTGCCACTTTTGAGATAGTTCCATGACAATTCCTCAGCTACACCTTTTTCTTGACGAGGTTTCTTTGCAGAATAGATATTTACCTGCAAGGTGTATCCAAGAGAACTATATATTTTGTACATTTTGATCCCATATTTGTGTTTTGGTAGGTATATATTGCAAAAAAGTAATCGTCTCCTATAAGTCATGGACTCGTCTAAAGCTACTGTTTCTCAGGTGTGCGCAAAGCTCCCCAAATTTTTCTGATTATGTACGACCTGTCTGAAGTATCTGCAGTAGTATTGTCTACAAAGTGAATACATTTTGATAATGTTTGAAATCTATTTCTGGTCATATTTTGAGACACCACCGAATTTTTATTTCAGTTTTTTAAAGTTTATTTTAGTAATCTTCTGGTGTTGGATATTTTACCAAGCTCATATGAAGAATTGTGACAAGAAAATCTTTTTCTTCTTCCACAGTGGTGTCATTCTAATGACTAGTGTCTGCATAAGCTATAGTTTTCCATGTACTGTTTTGAATATAAATTTTTTGTTCATATATATATTTCAAAATATTCTTTATCGAGAAACTTTCGTAAACATCAATAGGCTTAAGATTTGCCTTGTCTTGGATAACTAGTCATTGTTATATGCTTCAATTCCAGTAAAAGTAGTGGAAGTTTGTAAAACTATTTTTTAAAACTGCTAATGCTATACTATAAATGCTTGTGTCGTCCTACAAGTGAAAATTCAGGTATCTGTTATATTATTTATTTCGGTTAGTAATCAGAAATAGGGACCCTGAATGCGAAATAAGTGCGTCTGTGTAACGAAATTTTTCCCAATTGACCCGCAAAACCGCATTGACAATAATAGATTGAGCCAAAGCACATACGAAACATTGCCATACAACTGACATATTTCGCAAATATTTCGAATAATTTTTCGACTAACGGCTTAACTGGTCAAAAACAAAATAATAGTAAAAAAAATACAAAATATGCGTACTAATAATTTATTGAAATTATTCTTACAAACTTCTTGTAACTTAATAATCCGTTTAATTGATTATTTAGAACTATATAATTCACTATGTGTACCTATGGATAACCATTATTGCATTAATTTGGTTAGCATTATACTAAAAAATAATATTTTGTCTATAAAAATATGATTAGAACAGTAACAGTTTGAATAATCATAATTATATTGTTATTGTTATAATAGGAAACTGACTTGCACCTCTTACGCCCATGGGACACTACAGCGTAAGCGCAACGGAACCCAAATGAAAAACCGAATTAACATTTAGCAAGTGCGGTTGTACACGCAACCTTTTTTCGCCGTAAAAATTACGATTTTTACAATCGTCAGTATTGTATAAATAACAATGAAAGCTGTACCATGTACAAATATTTGTACAAATATTTGTACATGGTACACACTTATGTAGTTGTACCATTTACAAATATTTGTACATGGTATACACATGTAACACACTTCTGGCATATGCCAGAATATATGTGTTTGTCCACAACTAGCGGAATAAAAGTGAAGCGAAATTAGTTCGCCTTAGTTCTGGTGTCAAAAGCGTCTATTAAAAGTTGTTTGTTTTATTGAAATATGCTTCTATGTATTTGGCTCATTTATGAAATATTATTGTTAGTTTCTTTTATTAATCTTCATATTCATCTAGTTGCACAAACGATCTGTAAGGTTAAGTGACCATTATAAGCTGTTTTGTTAATTGCGCTGTTTATTATTTTAATGGAAACAATTTTTTTGATAATTTATGATGCAACGAAGATAAACCTGATACTGCCTCTAATGCACAGATAAAGTTTCATGGATAATGATCTCACGCGGATAGATAAATCCGTTATGCTGCAAGGATGGCTCGACTACCTGACTTCAAAGGACGTTTGTGCAACTGGGTAATAGTCCGAGCTAATATGTCCTATAATAGCTGTTTTCCCACAATTTCACCTAGGTTAATCATAACCTATGCCACTCGCGTATGGTGTAGCTTCTCTTAGGTAGAAAATAATTTTTGAAATCAATCCTGTGGTCGCCTATTCCAATGCAAACAAACAATCAAATAGTTAAGTTTGCCAAGCAGCACGCATTTTCATAAATAAAATACTTAGATAGTGTCGATCATCTATCTGTTTCAAGGGTTGTTCTAACTTTCTAATTGTTTATGGAAAATAAGTTTATTAGTTATAAACCACTTTTTCATTTGACGAGAAATCGGCAAACTTCACTCGTAGTAGTAATGGTAAAAGTTGCTTAAGTTATACACTATCGGACTTGTTTTAATGAAACATTTTTCAACCCTGAGAGGAGGCGATTCCTTCACCATCTACCTCTCAGAGTAAAAGCAATTATCATCAACTCTGAAGCACAAGATCAACTTTGGTGTAAAGGGCGAACAAAACCTTGATTCAACTATTTGTGCAAATTCACGCTGCTAGGAAAAAAACAGTCGCCTGTATTTTACCTTTCAGTATTAGGGTGTTTTAGTTTAGCGTGCTGTTTTAGATACAGCTTGGCTGAAATTCATTAGAACTGAGGTTTACTATATCAAAAATAAATTAAAACAAACTGGACTCTGCATGCCGCTTTCACTTTTATTTAGCTTTGTATGCCACAGGCGTAAGAGCTTCATCTATGCTTCCTCAATTCGATATATCCCGTTCAACAATATATATCATAGTGAAATCTAAAAGTGAGCCTGTCTGAATATATTCCAAATCTACATTATCATCTAATTACAATTATTATGTGTATATACGTCTTTTAACTTCTATAGATGTTCTTAATACTATTTCACAACACGAAAAGAAAAGTTACATTAAAGATACTCGGAAACGTAAAATAAACCATAAGTCTTGGTACCCGTTCCATAGTTTTTCAAGCCTCTTCACCACCACCACCTTCTCCGGGTGCTTCGGTAGCCGCAGCACCTCCGACGGCAGCAGCTGGTGCACAAACGATCCCAGCACCAGAAGGATCCCATATAACTGGTGCATAGATGATAAGGGCAACCCAAAGTACGAGGCAACAAAGTATTACACTCAAAAACGAATATTTTGCCTGCAGCAAACGAAAATACAAATTGTTGGCATCAAGCTATAAAATAATACAAGTTAATATTGAATTCAAAATTCAAATATCCTACAGGTCAATGATAAAGAAAGATATTTATAAGATTATTCGTGTGTCTTTCTGTCAGTCCGTCTGTCACAACCGATTTCTTTAGAAATTATTATATAAAAATGTTACATTTAGCTGCCTCTAGTGAGCACTAGAGCTTAGCACTAGAGTTAAACGGAGTTTAGATTTTTGTTATGTTGTACTTTTTACTTTTTTTCGATTTTTATCAAACAAAGTAGCTTTCGTTTTTAATTTTATGGGTAATTATTAATCTGGGGAAATAATAAAATGCTACAATTAGCTTTTTTCGCTAGATGATGCTAAACTGTTTTTATTTGACTTAGAACTGTATGTAACAAAAAATATATAATAAATTACATTTGCCATTTATTAGAACAGACTATTATAAGAGAAACTCATTTGTGATGTCAATAAAGATATTAAATAATAACATACCGGATGAACTAAAATTGGTGCCACAAAATATTTAAAACACGCATGAAAACATGGTTAGTTGATAAATGTTTTATTATGAATTTTTAAATAAAATATATTATTTGGAATATTTTAATTGAATGACATATCTATAATAGTTAATAACTAAGTACCTACAAATAGTAAAGTTATTGAATCATAGAATATGAGTTGCTTATATTGTTTTCTTTAGTTTAGTAGTTGGTTAGAGTACCTACCCATGTTTCCACAATATTTGCGTTATGTTTTAAAAAGAATTGTACGTTATTTTGGTGTTTTAGTTGCAAAATAATTAGTCTAAAACACCGGACGAGTGCGAATCAACTCATGCACGAAGGTTACCGTCCCGAAAACGAATTAAAAATTCACGTTCTTGTATGAGAGCCCCCTTAAATATTTATTTTATTGTATTTTTAAGTATTTCTTGTTATTGCGGTAATAGAACTACGTCATTTGTGAAAATCTCAACTGTCAAACTATCCCGGTTTATGAGATACAGCTTGGTAACAGCAAAAAGACACCATTGTTGTACGGTTGAGCCCTTCAATATTTATTATTTATTTATTTTATTTTTATTTATTTATTAACAACAACATTAACATCGATCATTACAGCTTATAGCCAATGCGATCTAGTAAAACTTAACAATTTTTTCTTATCTTAACTGAAGACCTTACTTTTTTATATATAAAATAAGCTTTTTATAATATATATTGTTCGTAATTAATTTTATATGTACAAAAAAATATTGCAGTTTTTGTAAACTCACTCAAAGCACAATCAAATATGTCAATTTCATTAGCTATCATATTTATGTTATTCTATTGTTGTTGAAGTGGCAACAGAAATACATTTCCTGTGAAAAATTCATTTATCTAAATTTTACGGTTCATTCGATACAATCTGGTGACAGACAGACAGACAACGAAGTCTTAATAATAGGGTTGTCATTTAACCCTTGTATACGGAACCCTAAAAATATATTGCATTTACGAATTCCTTATCCTTACCATTTTTGCCATCGGTACTTTCCCAACATTGTGGCATATGTGAGCTGGAGTGTATAAGAATGGCCACATGAAACCAAGTGATGTCGCTATCCCTACACCAACAGCGGCCAAATAGACGTTACCTATCCATGGAGCACTTACTCCCTCTCTCGCCTATAAAATAGAATAAATTCAACTTCATTTAAACACATATCATTGTAGCGAAAGAGACTTTATTGGCTAAAAGATAAGGTTTTCAAGCTTACTTACAATCTTACTTTGTTAGTTATTACGGTCTTATTATATTTTGTTGGTATGCCAAATTTTCGTAGATAGTTTGCAACTTCTTCCGAATTTGGAAATATTGTTGAAATTACAAAAACCATCTACACATATTAAGTGCTAGAAAAAAAAAATGTTTTGCATCTTTGAACCGGTTGCAAATCTTACATATTTAATATAATATGATATTTATTTGATACTAGTAGCCGCCAGCGACTTCGTCCGCGTTTTCCATTATTTCTTCGCTCCTAATAGATGCAGCGTGATGTTATATAGCCTAAAGCCTTTCTCGATAAATGGTCTACACAATAATATTTTTTCAATTCGAACTAGTAGTTCCTGAGATTAGCGCGTTCAAACAAACGAACACACAAACTCTTTAGCTTTATAATATTGGTATAGATTTCAGCAAGCTTGTAGAACTTTAGTACTTTTGGTCAGAAAAAGTCGAAAATAAAAAAAAACGGTCCCAAAATATCCAGACTCGAGAAAATTAAGAAAAGCATTTTTCTTATTTTGACGATCGGGAATCGAATTCGAGATTGCAAAGATTCTAGGCGTGCAATTCATGTAATCGATGAAGCAGTTACAGGATAATAAGCGAAAACCTTAACCATAAGTAGTATGTATCAAGTCACCCACTTTTGAAGACAAAAATGTGATTTGTGGAGTTTCAATGATAGTGATTTAGAAAAAATTTATTTGAAAAATGTAACCCACCATGTTTAGTATGAATGGTAGAATAACCACAACTGCAGCAACACCAGTCATCGCATTTGCCATGGCGCTGGACACGAGACAGATAAGCAGCAGTGCTATGTGCCAAGCTAAATTGGTAATAGGAGCTCCTGCGTGCGCAGTTATGTCTTTATAAAGTCCTGTACTTTTTGTCGCTGCGTCTATACTTACACCAGCGCCTAAAAATATTTCAATCACATAAAATTAATATATTATCAACTAATACGAGTATTTTTTGTTCTATGTATGTTCTGTATTTGGTGTTATCAATAATGTTACACAAATATAAATAAATATCAGACAAAATCACATACATTGCTCAGATTCCAAGATAAGTAACTAAAGCCCCCGTATCATGGAGTAGCTAAGACAACGAAGGTAACACAACACCCAGATCCGAAACAATATAGAAAAGTTAATTTTATACATTGATCCAACCGGAAATCGAGATGGTGAAATCGAACCGGCGTGAGAACCACTCGGTTACGAAGGTCGTCAAGTAGTCAGTCAATATAGCTTCCATCAGCCTATCACCCCGTCATCAGGGCAAAGGCATTCCCTATGAATGGAATCGAATCAAATGAATAAAGAGAATGGGCCATAATTATTATTAGTGCTTATTTTCAATAAGAAATATTCATTAGTGCTTATTTTCAATAAGAAACTCCTGTCATAATAAAATTTATCTTAAATTAATTCTTTATTTTGAATAAAAGATATAAATTTAAACTTAAATTGTAGTTCTTACTTTAGGTTTTAATGATAATAATAAAATCTTACCTAATACAAAAAAATATGCGTAATTTACATTCATATTTACGAATCGCCAAAACAAAATGCTCGACTCCGGTTTAAGAGTGAGCTGACTTTTCTCTGAAATGAAAATAATTTTGCAATTCTTACAAAAAATATTTCAGACTGATAAAAATTCTGCTGTAGGGTGAAATGAATGACAATAAACAAGAAATTAACGTCTAAATCAAATCATACATGAAGATTTATATTAATAAAATTATTACGTTAGAAACTAAATCAACATACTTCTCTTGTAAGTAAACTTCAAAAATTTCAGAGTTCGTGGAAGGCTGTGTAATAAAAGAACGAAAATCGCAACTACAGAGCAATCCTTAATTCTGAAATAAAGCGTTATGAGATATCAGTGATATGAACAGATACATCAACGGTGCTACTATTTATTAAAGATTTTTCATAATCAAATATACAGAATTTAGACTCCAATGTCAATCGGAGCACGGAAAAAAAGCGTTTATTAAACTTAACTTCATGAAAAACAAAATTCTATACATAAACAAGTTAATAACTGAGTTCTTCTCCCTACCCTAATTTGATTACACACTATAACTTGTCCAACCACCAGCCGAAGCTAGTCAAACGCGGTTATCCTACAAAAATTTCGTTACAATAAATTAGGAAAAAAAAAATCCTTTCACATAAATAGTCCAAGCTGTCCAAGCCGACCAAGCCGACAGAGCCTGGGTAACAAACTTGAAATTGCCGGGGACTTCAAACCGAAGTGGGTTGAACTAAATATCACAACTAGAAACCAATATTAAATATTCAAAAGTACAGCAAATTCTTATTTCCCTGCTAAATTATAGGTAAATAATTACATCGATCACTTACATAGGTTTGTCGCCTACGTAATTATATGTAGTCCAACCATGGAGATGGATAAACTTGTTGTCACTAACACACAATAAAATCAGGAGTAATAATAAACAGAATATGGTGACCTGCAAATAATTAAAATAAAATATAGTATTATACATATATTTGTACTTGTTACGCTACATGTTACATCAAAGATTGAAACCGCTCATTGAGCGAAACAATAGATCACAACGCGTTGTGGCAATTGCTGAACAGTACCACATAGCGAAATTCATGTTATGGCTCTAACAGAAATGCACGCGACCCATTTTGGCAAGAACGAAATAACCACATAGCTGAATACGTATCATATCTGACATGCTATTCAACCTCAACGCGTTGTGGCAATGAAGTAAAACCACTCTTAAGTTACACTTACGTATTCGTGAGATGTAATTTTGTGTGGAATGCTACTTTTTTGTTTGAGCAGTTGACTTCTCACATCGGCAATACTAGCTGCACTCAAAGGTTTGTCTGTAGTTCTAAAAGTATACGAATTAATGTTTATATTATTTCATAGATATTTTACATATTGTACCCTCATGAGTCTATTAGATTAGGAAAACTTTTAATTCAAATTCTTGCAACACAATTTCATTAGTTATTAGAAATGACATAGACCTCAAGTTATAAAACAAAATGTGTAATAATACTTTTATAAATTTACTGTGACCACTATTAATGTTTAAACATTGATACAATTGTACGCTTCCTAGCAAGAAAACCATCAAGCGATTAGGGGAACCGAAAATCTCGTCAGTTTGCCATTAGCTCAGTTGCAAGGAGCCAGGTAGCGAAAGTCACTGCAATTCGCGTGTGCAAATATCCGGGACAGATGATTTCAGAATAATTTAGAATATTATATAGAATCGTAAAAGCAGAACTTATTAGAAATAATAACTGGAACTCACATTGACAATAAAATTGTATGATATAGTAAATTAACAATGTACATGATGATAGCCACCGGAACAGCAAAAAATGAATACTGTAGATAGTTGAAAATTTCTGGATACTGGTTATTAGCTTCTAAGCAAGATCTGCGCAAAGAAAATTGTTAACAAATTAAATTAAATCTAGTTCATAAATGTTTTCTGACTAATTAAATAGTTAAAATGATACTAATCTATGGATGACGAACAGTTTTAGAAGTATGGTCGATAGCATAGACTATGGCGATACAATTATCAAAATCAACTCGTGGTACTAACAATATTTATTAAAGTGTGAAGTTGTCGAATAAATTTAGATGTATGACCGATAAATGTATAAACAATATCAACATAACAAATTTCCGAGATCCCAATTCGTTCGCTCGCGATTATGGCTTTACACTCACGTGGGGTAGAATGCACAATAGCCATCTAAATATTATAGTAGTCAAATGCTAATTACTTCTTCTGTGCCGAGTGTGGCATGATGACCACAACAACGACCATAGAAAGAACTACGCCGGGAATAATGTGTTGAACTCCGTTACAGCAGAAAAAACATACGAGGAAGCTCTGTGGGATATCCAAGGGAGCATCCAGGCAGGTTTCTTGGTAGCTACTCCTGCAGTATATGGCCCCTACTGTCTGTTCGGGTGTACCCGAACCCCTAGCCGAGTTGATCCTAACTGGGCGCTTTCTGGTTCTAAGCCCCCAGGAGAAAGAACACCGTAGGGATGTTAGTGAGTATGACTCTGAAAACTCACTGGATGGTAAAACCACGAGGTTCAGTGAATAGAGATCCTTCACACCCCTGGTGACAGGCGTACTAAACAATTTCGGTCATCCATTCCGTAACCGACGTTTACGGAAATATCTTAACCTACTTAATCGATACGATAATGGTATTACTAATGTGAGCTACACACAATTGTTGAAAAGACTTACTGTGTCCATATCGTTCTAAACGCGTGAGTGCAATATGCTGAATGCATTATAGCTGTACTACCTAAAATTACAAACAAATAGTTCATATCAGGAAAATAATAAATTAAATGTGATAAATCATTAGAATCCCATGCTTTGAAAATAATATCTAAAGCAATCATGGATTAATAACTATATGATTGTATACTGAAAATACCAGAGAAAGATTTTCTTAAAAAATAATTTAGATCAATTTAGTTTCAAAAAAATAATATTCTTATTAGAAAATGTGTTTCCGTTGATTATATATAAAAAAAACTTCATATTTCATACCTATAGCAGACGACGTCTGAATTGCATTATTGATAACGAATCGGACTTGGTCAAAACCACTATCTGCTTTTCCTACCTGAAAGTTTAAAATAAATTAAAGCACTCTTAAAATCTTATTGTATATGTGTTAATTTGTGCTTACAAACACTTATTTGTGTTTACAAAATTTAAAATATGGATTAAGAGGATTAAAACCTCATTCATTAATTTATTGCAACTTCCACCATTGAAAGAGTAATGCCCGTTTCGCATGGCATTGCCCTGAACTTTTTTTTTTGCTGAAGCATGGCATTCTTATAATCTTCGTTAAGCGATTTTTGTAGTACTATAGACGAGTGAATTGTTCCTATGTATCTGTTAGTACACTGACGCATTCGGTTGCGAAAGCGAAACATCGTGCCTACAGCCTACGAGACACTATATTCATAATGCTAAAAATAGAGTGACACAAAGCACATGCAAAACATTGCCATACAACTGACACTTTATTTGTTGTTTCGGATTCGCTTGTGAATACACGAGTTAAAGAACCATGCTGATAGGTGGAGAACGACGTTAAACATGTAACAGCTTGCTAAAAGTAGAAGGGTGGTGACACATATTTCAAGAAAATCTCAATAGATGGCGTTGTATGCATGCTAATATCGGTTACTAATGTGAATGATGTCAAAAATTAACACCTACGATCAATAAGATTGTGGTAAATTAATCACATATAAAATTGACACAAAAAAATATGAAATAGCCTAAATAAAAAGAAATTAGCTTTCGCGACTACTTTCGCGATTAACAACTTGTACTAACAAGGTGCTTTAGTAAAGCACAATTTTAAAGTTTGCGTTGCTCGTTCATAGATGGCACTAATCATATTCTTCCAAGATCTTATTGTAATTTAATCTAACTCTAGGCTTCTTCCACGTCTACAACGACGCAATTCTCCTCAAAAAGCAACTGTGGTATAACTGACGCGACTATACCTTTGTATCAAAACGGAACAATACAAATGTATTGAGTAAAAGATCATGACTTCTTGTCTTTTACTAGTACAGTGCGACTTGACTGATACTTACGTTATGACTTACCTAATACTTATTTACTGGGTTTATATACCCCAAAATATTAGAAAAACAAACAATTGAATTTTGCATAGACAGCATTAACTGTATTAGTTGTCTCTTCACCTTCTCTTCCTCACTTCGCAGGCAACTGACAGTGTGTGCCAATAATTTTTTTGCATCATTTCGAAAACGGGACATTTTCACATCACAAGCGATCTTCGGGGACATTGAGACAGACAACCAAAAAACGGAACGGTCCCGTCCCAAACGGGACGTCTAATCACGTTTAGTACATCATACCAAATTTCATCAAAATCCGTTCAGTATTTTCGCGTGAAAGAGTAACTAACATATATACAATACTTACATCCATCCACGCAAACTATCGCATTTATAATATTAGTAGGATATTATTTTCAAATGCACTTACACTTAAAAATATCGGAGTAACGTATTGGGTTATAATAGTCGTAACTATAAGTCTGTTACTTAACATGGAGAGGAAAAAGGCTGCCAAACTGCATCTTCTAAGTAAACTGGAACAAAGTTGACAGTATGAATTATAGAACAGGGAGAACGGACCACAGCCAAATACGTGGGCTTAGTGCAGGTTAACAACTGCAGATACAACCGGAACCAATGGCTCAACGTGCCTTTTGAAGCACGAAGCAACTCGGAGATGAGCGCGCAGAGGTCGTCCACACTCCGCATGTTGACTCCATCGACCAGTGTAAAAGAGTCATTAGATATATAAGAGTCAACATGCGGAGTATGGACGACCTCTGCGCGTTCATCTCATTGGTCAATAAAATAAAGACCGCTTTATGAAAGCGCTATATAAAAAAATATTTCGTACGCCGCACGCAGTTATTTTGCCATTACTGTTTAAATAAAATTATTATAACATAGAACTATTAAGCATTGCTAACAACATCACAAAGCTATCAATTAATCAAAGAAGTGTATCTAGAAACATTGACAAAGCAATAAGTATGAACCATTTTCTTGTTTCTAAGCGGCAGTATACGACAGTAAACTAAAAATTTAAGATTTTAGACGAAAATCTTAAAATTTAGCGTAACAAAAAATTACAGTAACATTATAAGGGTTATATTACGTAGGCTGTTATACGTATACTTTACGTATATTTTACTCTGTTATACAACTAGTTAAATGATGTGGACGTTTTGCACAACTTTTTTGATATCTGGTCTGGACACACTTATAGCTTCAGCTTTCAAAAGTATTAGACTTTAACCTGTACTATCCTACAACAGATTTTTATAAATTGAATTACCTTTTCTCGCAAAAACCTTGGCTACTCCCACTGCATATTATACTCAAAGCTATGCGACGATCGGCACCAGAATTATTTAGCAGCAATATCACCATTGATGAAAATATGAATAAAAATATTCCTTCCTGAAAACATTAAAACAAATTTTATCCCAAACACATTTTAAAAATGCAAATGCTAGGAAATTAATTAAACAACCTAATTTAATATTTAAGAGAACATAATAATAACGAAACAATTCCAATAAATAGTTATATACGTAGCAAAAAAAAAAGACAAAAACGAAAAGCCGACTACAGCTTAATCACGCTTTAAAAGGTTTGCAACAAGAAATTTATTTTATAGCGATATCTATATTATAATAGCTATGACCAAAGAATAGCGAAGTCGTATGCCACTTACTGACTAATAAAACAAACTGTTGTGGCAAAAAATAAGCGAAACAATTTGGTTTTAGTATTTTAAAATTATATTTTATGTGAAAAGGAGGTCAACAGCCTTTGCGGTGGACAAAAATGGTTGAATATGTATCGTGTTGTGTCGTTGTTGTTGCTCCCAACCACGGTGGGGTAAGGCGGGGTACTAGCCCTATTTTCAACGTTGACTTTAAAGTAAATGTATGAATAAACAAAACTAAATAATTTATCCATAGTATAAAGTTCTGTCTGCACGTTGAGATCTTTTAAACTGCACATCGGATTTAAATGCAGTTATCATAAATATACAGAGTGATTAAAGAGGAATATTTATAGATATAATACAAGGCCACATGGGCTTAATATAATACAAGACCACATGGGCTTAATATAATACAAGACCACATGGGCTTAACTTAATTTAGCTTTACTGCTAGCGGCTTCGCTAATTAAGTTAAAACCAAAATTTTAAATATTACTCCCCAGAATTCTGTCAAGATATTATTGAAATAAGGTTATCATTAAAAACATTTTAAATTCCATTTATTTATAGTTTTTTTATTTTATCCCCACCCCTAAATTGCCCATGGTAGTTGAAATCGCGTGTCCTTTCATAGTTTCATACATTAGAATGAAACGGGCAAACTTTATTGTGACACAACACACAGAAGTCTCCAACCACACCAACATTTATAATACCGATTTAATTACGTTACTCCACAACAAGATACGACACAACGAAAAAAAAAAACAAAATAATAATTAGGTATGAGCACTAACGTTCAGATAGCATTTGCATACAGATACAGAATCCAATAATCCAGTCATTGGCAGCAAGAACACCGGTATCATAGATGCAGCAGGAATAGATATCGGTTGAAGGAGATAGATCCAAAACATTGACATCCACATAAATTCAAGGGCAGACTTAAAACAACATTATATTTAAATACACTTTGAAAGTTTAATACTAAAATACTGTTTAATAATAAATAATAAATTGCAAATGAGTCTATAAAAAACTGAAAAAGAAACAATTTTATCGTATGGTAGTCCACTTAAATGTTTATTTTATTGTTTTTAGTATTTGTTGTTAAAGCGGTAACAGACATATATAATCTATTTGTTCCAATTTCAAGTGTCTATCTATAACAGTTCATGACATAGTCGTGATAGACGGATGGACAGCGGAATCTGAGATACCGTTTTTTTCCTTTGGGTATGGAACCCTAAAAATGACACATGACACAAAGCGATTATATTTAATTCTGCTGTCTACTGTACATCAGACATAATAATTATCATTAGACTATTAAGCCCCTTGCTGGGGCTCAGGCCTTCTCAATAAAAGCGTGAAGACGCGGGCATACTGCAGATGAAGATTTAACGTTCCTTCGGATATCATTTTTTTTTTGTTATCCATCCTTAGCGAAAGTTGCTTGAGATGTGAATTGGCTACCCAGCACACCAACTACTGTACCAGATTCAGATTAATTTATTTGCTAAAAATATGGTACATTCATAGTTGTTTTAAAAATTATTCAGTCTCACTTATTAACATTTACAGAGGCATGCAAATATACATTTTTTTTTGTCCGTTGTCAGGTAGTTAGTTTCTTTCTCTTTATCTACGAAACTGTGTCATAGCGACCCCCATTCCTCAACTTTAATATATCTTATTTAAGCTATCCCTTGTTAAATTAATGTAAAGTAAAATACGTATCGAAAACTATTCTGGTATCTAACTGTCGAACTTAATAAAATTTATTTTTTTCACCCAATCATCGACATCCCTATTAACTTTACAATTGAACTAACATAATACTACAATTTAAAGTTTATGTATTTCTTTATCTATTTAAAGTCTTTTAAAATTAATGTATTTCTTTATCTTTTTAAAATCTTATATAGGGTACATCTGAAACCAAGTCCTATGAGCATTACAAGCATAATTTATAAAAAGCATAAGCATATTTTGTGATAACCAATAGACATACAATACCTTCCCTTTTTCAACTCTCCATGTCAAAAACACTATAGGAACTAAAACTCCAAGGATTCCCCTGAAGTTGTTCACTATTATATTAGTAATCCGTGGCAATGGGCCTTTTATTGGAGCTCGTTGGTCTTTTGCACTATTTATAAAAAATTATTCAATAGTTATTAAGTATATTAACATATACATTTTGCACTGCTTAATTTGAACTTTGTGGCTCCAAGGGAGAGAACACCAACACAACTTTTCAGGAGAGCCAAAAAACTAAAATTAAGATTTATATTTAGCATAACTTTATTTTTATTGATTCTATTAATATGATACACCGAAATTCGTAAATTTTTATGGTGTATAACATTAAAGCATAACATTTTGAGAAATAATTATAATTTCAAAATTTGCTGGTGAATACAGAGTCAAACTTGAATGTCTTTTACGCTCCATAAAATGACTCCCATGTCATTACATTACACTATTAGTTCTGGAGTAAACTTAATATGGTTTACGCCCTATATTTCTATTTGAAAGTGTCGTTTACGTCTAATACTCTGATGATGTTCAGTAATAAAATTTACAACCAAAAGAGGGTTTTAAAAATACCATTCCATGGCGCAGAAAAAAAAGCAAAATTCATTTTGGAGAGAATAGTGGTTACACCCTTCGAACCATCAATATTATATGAAACCCAAGTTAATTTTTATTTACTAATATTACATTTTTTCAGTAGCATTTTTATTTTAGTATTTTAGTAATTTTCAAGAATTCCAATAACTTAATAAGATTAGTCATTAAATTTTCCTCTGAGTTTCAAAATTGATAAAATATTAAATCTCATACTTTAGTAGAAAACATTTGTATGTATGTATGTAATATAAGTAATATTATAAGTCTATACTTACAACAGCCACGAAAATATTCTGGAAAGAAAGTAAAAATATTATGTATGTTTTTACATCATCGCTTACACCTCTTGTATGGTCGTGTGAAAAGAAACCAGTACTAAAATAAAGCGAAATATTAGAAAAACTAGTGCAAGTTGGGTCTGCGCATGACCGGTTCCGTGCCATTATCTATGAATATTTATGTATAAGGAACCCTAAAAATGACGAATTGCTGTCTGCTGAACACTTAAAGCAACGGAATCGGTTATGCTTTCGTTTCGTCTTCTCTATGTGCAACGGGCTTAAGTTTAAAGTATAAAAAACGCAATTAATTTACCAAAAGTAGAATAAAGAAACAGTGACGTACTTACCCCCCCATTTTCAATTAATTACTCCTTCGTATTAATTAATAATAAATTCCTCTGTAATATGTTTGGTAAATAATTTGCTATTTTTGTGACATTTGACAGGAGTGTGCTAAAATTAATGTCATTTTTTTTCATTCGAAATGCAAATAATGCTATAGAAAATAATGACAATAACAAACCTTTTTGAACTTAAACCTACTTATTTTACCTTATAAGAATATATAAATAATACCTGGAATTGTACATATGTACCTACTTCCATTTCACATTTTATGTAAATAGCGTGAAGTTCCCGTCTGCTTTCTGACGATACTGTTATCAACCAATAATATCTGCAATAGATTTGTCAAAATAAGACTGTCTCTTTCTAATTTTTTTGTTAGATGATGTTAGTAAATATGTCTTTTAAATCTTTCTCCTGACGCCATGAAATAAATTTTAACAAAAAGAAACCACAAATACAAATGGAAGTGTTTATTATAAGGAAATGTAACAATTAAAAATTTTCGTAATAAATAACACAAGTCACGTATGCTCTGTACGTTCATAAATTCGAAAGACACTTCTTAACCGTTACCCATAACTGGCTACGTACAATTATTTAGTCAATATAAATTATGTCTAGGTGTAAACAGTACGTGAAACAGCAATATCACTTTTATCACTTCAAGATATGCTTTATAAATGTTTGGGATGACCCAAGGAGGTTTTGGATCAGACTGGTGTGGTGCGTCGATAAGGATCGGTACCCACAGCGCGATCGTGTCGTGGAGGATTCTTTTCTTCGTTAGTAGCAGGTACTCTGGCTCCTGCACCGAATGTTACCAATTCCTCCTCTCTAGACGGCGGAGGTTCAACAGCAGATGTATCCAAGAATCTTCCACTGGCGACTGATGCCTGTGATTGGAATATCGAAGCACTCCTTAATCCACTCAGAGTGTTCGCGCTTTGAGGAACCTCTTTGAACTCTTCGAAGTAATTGTCACAAGCAGTGGGCCTAGGCGCTGCCGGGAACCCGTACAATGTAGAAGATGAAAGGTCCTTTAGCGAAGCTGAACTAAGATTTATTCTTCTGTTTTTATGTATCGAACAATGGGGCATATCGTCACCGTCGAATACAAACCTCCTTCTTTCATGTGGAGTCGCAGCTGATGAACCGGTGGGAGGATAGGTGTCCCTCTTCATCATTCGCCTTTCTAATAAAGTTGAATCGGTTTCTCTGAAATCTGTGAATGCATACTCCCGATCCCAAGCGCGACAGTCTGCTTTCGCTTTCTCCGTTAGCTCAGTTATCCAGTCTTTTTGGTACCATTGTAGGAAGAGGAATATAGCCGACGTGCCCGCCAATTCTACTGCGATGAAACCACTTATGTAAAGACCAAAGGAATATCCATAACTATAGGACATTCTGGGCGCATCGAATAGAGTCATGTATCGTAGCTTGTGACCCACTTGTTGCTTAAATACAGATATGTACATGACGATTCCAGTCAGCATGATGAGACCTGAAAAATCGAAAAATATAATATTTACTAATTTTATAAATATGTACAATCATTTAATAATGACAAATCAATATTAAAGACTGAGTTTTTTTTAAATGATTACAACATTGTCCCCTCACTTCACGGTTAATTGATAGCACTAGTGATCGAATTCGTTAAATTTCTTTTATTTTTGTAGAAAACTAAAACCACGATCCCAGCATACAGGCAGCGAGGAGCGGTTTTGATTTATACTATTCATAGATTAAGACAACTATTGATTACGGAAAAAAGGTATTATTAACGTAAACAACAGTATAATGGGCTTAGATAATTTCATTGTTTTGTAAACTAATCGTAGCACAAATGTTTGTGAACATAAACTTATTTTTCTTATTTAGTTTTATATCTTAATTCAATTTTTTTCGTATAATTATGGTATAATAAATTAATAACGAGATAGCTGCGAGATTTCTGATGCAAACGCTATGCCTTTAATAATTACCAATATTCTTATCTTTACTACATTATTGTGAAGAGGAAAGGTTTGATTGTTTGTTCGCATCGAATACGTTTCAAAGTTCAAAAATAATTTTAAAAAAAACACCAACGGAAAGCTACATCCTATGCGGGTGTCATAGGCTATAATTTACGTGAATGAAGTCACGGAAGACACCTAGTATAAGTTAAAATATGAGTTTAAACTGTTAATTTACCAGATATAATAAAGAGAACTCCAGCGATGAACGTACAAAGTCTTCGACCCTTTACGCAATGTCCAAGGACACAGCAAAAAGCGGCAACTGCTTGCGTCAGCACCGCTAGCAGGAGAGGAGCAGCTGATCTTGTCACCACATCTGGAAAATTAATAATTAACTATGAATGACAAACAATATTAATACTTTATTCAGCTTTGTATGCATAGCACTTGGTAAAAATAGAAAGTAATAAAATACAATAAAAAAATAAACCGACTTCAAAAATATAATTATAAATAGAAACTGAAAAGAGAGTAAGTAATGAATGAATGAATATATAAATGAATGAATATGAATGCCCAGTAAAACATAAACATGAAAACATACATTGAATTAGAAATATCGATACAAAAGGCCAAAAGAAGCTATACCGATTGAGTAAAGAGACTGCGGGCTGGTGTATTAAAGAAAGATAAATGAGAAAATTCATAAAAGCAAAAACATATACTAATATAATTTAAATAAATAATACAAAACAGAATACAATTTCAGGAAGATGACTCCAGTTTGAGGAAATGTTCCTTGATATATTTAATAAAGGACTCTCATGATTGTGTGCGTCTGATATTTACAGGCAGTGAGTTCCAAACTTTGATGGCTCTGATATAAACCTACTTGGCTACAAAATCAGTTGTATGAAGAGGGATCACTAAGGCAAGGTTATGAGAAGACCTCAAATCTCAGAGAGAATTAAAAGAGTGGAAAACGAAGCGATTTTTAAGATATTGCGGTGTTTGAAGATTAAAAAGAATAAAGAAATAGAACAAAGAATAAAAGTAATTATACTACAAAGTTTTTATCTTTGACTAAATCGTTCGAATCCAAGTGAATACATGAAAAATGAGGTCGGTGCCACATATTTTATAAAACAAAAGTCATGTACGGTAGATAATCACTTAAGACAAATTTTCTGATAGTGTTGTTATACTTCTTACTAATGCGGACACAGCTGGCACTGACTTCAAAAAAATTGTTGATTTATTTACTTAGATTCGATCGATTTTATCAAATATAAAAATGTTGTGGTAATATTTCTCTCTTTTCAGTTTCTTTTTACTATGATTTTTTTGAAATCGGTTTATTTTTTCTAACTAAACTTTAACAAGTGCACGTTAGTGATTAAATACATAGCAATAGCAATCTCATTTTTTTAATCATCTCAGAGTGCCAGGGACAAAGTAGTTTTTTTGAGTATTTTTCATTAAGAAAATATTCGTAACATCTTATTTTATTAGGATTTCTATTTATTTTGAGTTAAAAGAGACTTACAAGGTATGGCATTGGTGGAATCACTTGTATCTGGTGCGTATTGCGATAATGGAAAGTATGGAATGTCCCAACACCGGTACACCGTACTTCCCGCTGAAAAAAAAAAGACAAATAAAATTAAAATAACATTAGTGATGAATGCTTATTTAATTAAAATTATTAAAGATAGATAGCAAACTGATGATATTTACATTTTAATGTTGCTAATATACTTCAATTAGAAAAGTTCGTTTCTATTCGGAAACCACTTCCTTTTATATCTTTGTTTCTTTAGTTAAAACATGAAATAAAGAAGTATTATTATTTGCTCTGTATTACGGTAATCATAAATAGTAACTCTGTATTTTTCTTCTCTTTTGTTCTACATTCTAATTAAGAGTATTTAACGATATGAGCCTCTTACAGTTTTATTGCAAACTTTTTGATTAATCAAAAGTCTTAAGACTTTTGTTTCTTTTATTTTCAGTTACGCGAAATAAAACTTTATTATTTAACCGCCTCCGAAAAAAGGAGGTTATCAATTTGAGGTTTATGTAATTTCATTGAAATGGCGTTTTAGATCTGGACACTATCCGACTAACAATTTTGGTTTCCTAATGAAAAAAACAGATTCGCCTAATTGTGATACTTGTGGTCTAATTGAGGACGTTCAACATTTGTTGTTGGAATGTCACAGAAATATGAGAGAGCGACAAACACTGATGACTACTCTAAAGTTAAACCAACTTGACTTAGGCATTTTCCAAAGTTTACTGAGTGAACCATTGGCAAGCACAGCTAAACTTATATGCGACATGGTAAGTCATCGATGATAGTTGATCTCTCAACTATTATTTTAAAGCTGTAGATTATGTATATTTAGGGTACGATAGGACTGTCATATCTTAAAGATAAAAGTCCTTAAAAAATAGAAAAAAAAATAAATAAATAAAGAAATGGCGTTATTTTTATGTATGTTGGTATGTACATACGTGTTTCTAAACACTTGTGCTACTAATCTTAATTTTAACATATATGAATATTGCGCCATATTCCAATACAATCACAACCTACATGTCAAATTGATAACCTCATCATTTATTATATTTTTGTAAGTCGATATTGTATGCGTGTCTATATGTTTGTCCAAGTATTTCTCGTAAATATGACATCAGGTTGAAATGATTCTCTTTGTTGATCAACTATTTATCAAGTGGACATTTTGGGAACAGTATAAGAGAAAACTTAAAAAATGACTTAATGAATTTCGTCACCAATAAAAACGCAACGGCGCAAAGACAAATTGCTTCCAAAATATTAGGTTAGGATAGGTTAGAACTGCGACCCTAACAGAAAATATTTATCCAGTAAATATAGGTATGTTTACATACAGAAAAAAGAATTCATTTATTATAAGTTAGGAGTAATATGGATTGGTAATAACTTCTTTAATATAATTAATTAACCGACTTCAAAAATATAATTATAAAGAAAAACTGAAAAGAGAGAAATATTACTACAAAGTTGTTATTTTTGATAAAATCGTTCGAAACCAAGTGAAAACACGAACAATTTTTTTTAGATCGGTGCCTGATATTTTATTAAAAAAAATTGTTTACGATACATAAATAATTAATTAAGACAAATTTTATGATAGCGCTGTTTTACTTCTTAATAACTCAAAAAAACTGTTGATGTATTCACTTTAATTCGATAAAAATTTTGAGGTATTATTTCTGTCTTTTCAGTTTCTCTTTATAATTATTTATTTCAGGTCAGCTTAATTTTTTTAGAACTAAACTTTCACAATTGCACGCAAATGATTAAATACATAACAATAGCAATATCTTTTTTTAATCAGTTAAAATTACTTGATAAATTTAATTATTCAATATAATTAATACTAAAATATTAAACCTTACTATAATATATTATTTATAAACTTATAATATTTGATCAATTTTGCATTTACTATGCTATACTGAAATATATTTTTAATGAAAAGTGCCTAAAAAAACAAATATAATAATTAGAAAAAAAATCATTTTATATATTTGTAAAAATAGTTGTTTCGGCTGTTTGGGTGGTTTGCATTGATGAATGTACGCTCTATAGTAGCAAAAGGGTATCTCAGTGGTTAGAGCAGTCACCCGCATTGCGAAAGGTCATGGATTCGAGTCCCATCTCAGTGTGCTAGGGACAAAGTGGAAATTTTAACATTTTTCATTAAAAATGTTTAGAAAACTCAATAACAACATTCTTAATTTCTACAAAAATGGGTGACAATTTAGTGTGAAAAGCTTCTAATAAGTTTATTTTGATAAAGAACATTTTCTTTAAATCATAATCTCATGTCTTTGCACTGAGATTAAGTTCAATGTAAAAATGAAACTTGGGTTTCCCAAATTAAAATTTTTATTTTTATTATACCACTAATTAAAAAAGTAAGAGGGTAAATAAATATGTGTAAAACAAACAGCACATCACAAAAGCGTAGCTATTTAATGAAGGAAATGGACTAGTCATAAACGGACGGCCAACGGGGTGGTCGCCGAGACTGTGGCAGAAGTGGGTCGGCCTCACTCAGGGCTACCAACATTTTTTCAAATATATATTTTTAGAAATGCCAAATAACAAAAGATTTACTTGGAAATTCAAATAATTATCAATATTAATAATTTTATCGGGCATCGTGACTCCAATTAGTGTTCGATTTGATATAATTTAATAAATAAATTATATTCAGTACTATTTTAAATAATAAGAAAGATGAAAAGATGTAAAATAAAAAGGTAACTAAAACATACTTTTTTTTTAATGTTCCATACACGAGGCTGAAATACATTACAAAACTATTATGAGGATTTTATGTTACACTTAGAGTGCAAAAAAGATCGAATCTCAATCTGTTAAAAAAATTTGATTGGTAGTGTGCAACCCAATTACTACGGTCCTTGTTTGTGAATATATGTAACTTTGTATTAGGTACATATAAAACTCAATTCTATGGTAAAGGTATGCTAATAAAAGTATAAATTATTATGGCATCATAATTATTAGCCTATTCATATTCCCTATGAAGATATGTATAATATAAGAGCACGGGGATCCACTATCTGGGTCCAGTGTGATTTGGTGTAAACCATTGCACATGAATCCAGGACCAATGGCAAATTTTTTGATCACTCATTCGATGATGCGTGTTGTGAAAATTACTAAACCTCAGCAGTAGTATAACACAAACCACTGCACCATTGAGATATGTACTATTAAATATATTAATCGTTAACAGCCCTAGTTTCAGTGTAGAGCTGTGGAGCACAATGCACTTCCGCGGTGGGACGGAAGCGGCGACGCATTGTAGCCAGAACGCGTGCGGAAAGGTTCGTATTGTTTCTCCTAGCTTTATGTTTGAGTTCGAGTGATTTCTTTTTTTCAAAATTAACTTGGCTTTATTTATATTTTTTGTTAAAAGAAAATATTAATAATGGACGTATATTTTTTTATCATAAAGCCACTTATCGTCACATAAAAGTCTGTTTTTCACAGTTCAATTTATAACCAACTAATCGTTAAAAATATAATAATGAATTTTCAGTTTCAATTTGTAGTTTTCGAAAAATTTTCGATAACTTAAAAACTAGTGCTTGTATGATATCACATTTACCTATCACAATATAAATATTTTCGTAGCAATAAAAATTACGGAAACGGTATTTTTATAAATCTTTCTGTTCTAAGCGATTCAATCCCAAATTATCAAACTCAAACTAGGAGCTCGGTGGCCTAGTGGACTAGCACCGTTTTTTGTTAAGCAACTTTCGCAAGGCTCGGTCATGGGATGGGTGACCAAAAAATTATTATCTCGAGCTACTCAATGCTTCGAAAATCACGTTAACCCGTTGGTCCCGGCTGCATTTCCATTTGTAATTACCCACCAATCCATACTGGGCCAGCGTGGAGTGCCATTGCCCATCCTTCTTAACCATCCATAAGGAAGGCCTGTGCCCCTGGGGACGTAAAAGGGCTGATAATATTAATGAAACTATCAAACACTGTTACCTTTACTGTTACGTTACAGGGCATTTTCTTTAAATTAAAATATAGTGAAATACTTACGGTCTGTATGACATATCCTCCACAAGCCAGAGACTGTGTGTTTCGCGACTAGCCCGTGTTTCCCAGTACCATTGAAGGATGGGTTCAGCATATTCTCTTCAGTGTGCAACCAATTGTTAGTTGAGACGGCGACCAATACAGCTACGACTGCTGTGCCAGCTGACAGAGGAGTTAACAGCCAGAGGCAGGCAACTGACGAGTCGACCTGTGCCACCAACGTCGGAGAAGGAGGAGTGGGCCTGGAATTTAGAAAAGAAAATTTCAAGAATTCGGCATCATGATACAAGCCAACCCTGATCAGTTTCATGCCAATATGTTTCAGTGTTGTCATTCTTATAAAACTATTGGAATCGACGTGGTGGACATTCTAATATGTCTTTCAATAGTTACTTACGTTTCTCCTTTTCCACGCTTTGTATTGTTTTACCTAGACTGTGTTAATTTACGTGTTTGGTAGTAAAATATTATGTAATATTTTAAGAAAAACTGAATTAGCTGGTAATATACTTTAACTTTCAAGGATATATTCCTCTGGGAAGGTAATAATTTATCCTGTAAACCATCACCAATATGGCACGTGGGTGCAGTCACAGGAAAATAGCTAGTTGATAAAACTCTTTAATCTTCTCACAATTTATATTTTCATATAACTTCTGCTACCCTGTATGTCCAATTTCTATTACACATCTATTTAAGATTTAAGGAAACAAATTTAAAATCTAATATTTATCTTTTCTGTAACAATATTTCTGATTCTACACCCGAATTCGATAATCCTTAAAAAAAAACTCTAGTTTAAAATCAAATTTTATGAATAATAAAAAAAAATGACAATAAATTTTAACATAGTAGTTCGCTAAGTAATCCCTCGGTAGAGTTCATCAAAAAATGCAAATAAAACCGAACCTAACTATCTGGTTTGCGGTCAAAAACTGCTTATCTGGTGCGGGCGAGAAAATTTGCATAAAAATTGTTTAGCTGCTCAATTTTTACGATCGTAAATCAGAACTCTACGTGAACGTAATATATCGGGGGTTTGGTACTGGTAATATGAATGTTGTATCTGCATTTTCGTAGTATTTCGTTCGATATATATTTTGATTTATTCTAGAACGATTCAGAAGGATTCAGAGAACATTTTATCATATTGGTTATGAAATTTTCTATAAATAACTTCTGTAATATAAAATAAATTATTTACACTGTCATTTAATTCGATGTTTCATAAATATGAAACAACAGTTTAATAGAGAACATCACATATATTGTTCACTTAATTAGCTTAAAATACTTGCATTATGTATTTCCATTTTTCAAGTACTTTAGCTATTTGAGATCTGAACAATATATGTAATTTTGGCTAATAATAATTTATTTCTTAATAGTGACACGGCGACTTTCAAAGTTCAATAATTTTAATTTCTTTATTAAGAAAACACACCTTATTATTTCAAGTACGAACAGTTTTTCTACTTATCTGGATATTTTCACCTTTTAATACTTTTTAGACCTCTTCAGATATTTCAAAAGTTATTCAAATAATACCAATCGTTCTTGAGTCACCATCAAACAAATGCCGTCATAAAACTAGTGGCTTGTTTCGTAATCTAAATTCGGCTATAAACAATGAAACTAATGTCATGCAACTAGTTGCTAATGTAAAGCCTGCTTTATGCAATGAAACTATGTTCGTCTTATGAATTTGTTTGTACTGACAAAACTTTGTTCAAAATTAACGGATAGCTTACCGGGGAGGGCGGCGGCTAGCGATTGCGCCACTGAGCGTAGGCGCTGGTTGAGCGCGCGCGCCGCGCGGTAGCGATGCGTGCACGCACTGCGCACCCCCGCCCCACATACCTCCCCGCCGCTTTACTGAAAAATGCAAAATCACAATAGATCCTTCCTAGAATACACTTCCTATACCCTTAAGTATTATAAGTGTAGGAATATATAAAAATAAATAATATAGAAAGAAAGAAATTTATTCCGGTGCATACAATAAGTTTAAAAAATTATTTTATGTAGGTTATAATATATTTATATAGGTTATAATTTACGAGCATTGAGATGGTTGCAATCTCAATATTCCATGTCAATTTCGACTCTCTCCTTCAGTAGTGCAGTCTCATATATTCAAATTTAAGTAATTCTGAATACTATTGCAGTAACAATTTCATAGCGGAGCATGAAAAGTCAAGGAAATAGAAAAAGTAATATTAAGTCACTGCTTCATAAACTAAATCATAAAAAAATATTCTTTTCCAATAACACGGGAACTCGTTAAAGAACTTCGATTAAACATAAATTTTGGATTACATCATTTGGGTCTGGAGTATTATATCGGCGAAATATAAACTTTAGTGATATAATTGGACAGTCAAATAGTCAATAACTCCAACTTAATTACAACAATAATACCCAACTGTATTACTGATAATACATACTAGATAGACCAATAGATATCCACTCAAATTCGTATCTGGTATAATCAAATATCCTAATTCACGAAACTATGATTAGCATTTTGTGGTTTGCTCAGAAACTATATACTATATAGAGCATTCCCATTTAGGTTTTGATTATTCAGAATAGAAAAGGTTTCGGTTCTAATCAAAAATCAAAACGAAATGGTTTCTTCTAAAAATACTGTCAGTTTTATTTATACCTCCAAATGATTACTTTCTATGTTTTCTGTTTTTTTGAGAAAATATTCTCACACGACAAGCGATCGTTCGTAATGTTAGAAATTGGAACTCGAAAGTGATGGCGTATGAAGAAAAGACACAAAAAATTATGACGTGGAACCAGAGCTTATAATTTGCGATTCGATACCGCTCCGAGGCATTCACTATCCGGTATAGTTAGAATCATTCGCAAGCCCTGAGTTTTCCATAATATTGAAGCTAGGCATTTGTCAGCCACTTGTTCAACGTAGCTAATTTTTTATTTATTTACAATGGCCTCAGTCTTGACCCTTCATTATATGTAAATATAATTAATCCATTTACTAAATGTGCCAAATCGTCAACTCATCGAATAGTTTAGATATAAACATGCCTTAACATACTCCATTCAATTCATTTTCAATAAACGTTTATTAATCATACTTTCCTATTGCCAAGTCTGATATGTTTTCACTTGATAAGAAATACTTAATAATAAATTTATCATGCAATTAAATTAAAAAATTAAAGCAATCCATAGCGGAAATCAATTGCTTTCGAAACAACTTGGATTTATTACTTAATGAGGTAGTCAACATCAAAGGTCTTGCAACTCCTGAAGATGCTCATTGTAATGACAAAACATAAGGGTTCCCTACTTGTGATCGAAATTTGTTGGTTTAATTTTCATTCCATCGAACAGGATCGGTAGAAACTATTCATTATAAAGTTTTATTTCATCAGTGATCTCAATGTAACGTTTATTCGGTTAAAAGATTCTAGCTAATAAGCGCGTAGTTCTGGACCTTAGATTATTAGTTCCAGACATGGATATTTTAAACTTAACCGGGTGTGCACGTTTTTTAAAGCTACAATGAAAATGAACAGGTAATAAACAGTTAATTCAATACAGAAAATAAAAATAATGATCTGATTTCGAAAAAAAAAATGGGTCCGCCTCATGTGATTTTCCAATAATTTTGAAAATCGGTCTAAAATGTAGTTAGAAATCGGTAAACATAACTGCGTATAAATAAATACACGTTGAACAAGGACTCTCCTCTTTACAGTTTTGTAATATTTTTAAAATAAAACGCTATTTTGGATTCATTTTAAAAGAATATCGGTATGATGAAAGCATATGATAAAAAATATATTTACTGCGAACACGGAATACGCATTGTAAGTGTGAAAAATACATTATTTATATAGTTATTACAGAGTCATTGCTGTAGTTAACATATTCCGGGACCATTTCTCATACTGGCCTGATATTGTCGAGCAATCTTCATGCATGCATAATTTAACACGAACGTAATAGCGTTTTTCTTTTTTTATTCATATTAATGCTTTAACGGTAGAACTGAAAGACTTATTCAATATAAATCATTTAAAATGAGATGAATAATTTTTATTTATTTAATCTTTATGCATATAAAATAGCAAATGGTGGACTTAATGCCAAAAGGGCATTCTCTACCAGTCAAACCGGTGAAGGTGTACAGAGCATTCAAAAGGCGGTATCATTAAAAGAACAAAGTTACAATTTCTAACTAGTAACACCAACAAATTAAATATAAAATACAAATATATACATACACACTATAAACTTATATAAAAATACAAATAAATAAAGAAATATATATACACATACTGATAAATTAAGTCAGACTAGGGCACACGAATTGATTGGAGATAATAATATTGTTTTATTAAAATGCCTTCATTTGTCTATCATGGACACTTTAAAATCAGATGTTGATTCTAACCATAGTCGAACAAATCTTAAAGTGAATTGTTATATTTTTATTTCACTTCAATTTTCATCTTTTGTTTTCAAACAACTTTCATTCAAGTGAAAGAACCTCAAGTTTACTTATTGTATAAAGGCTTTTGTACACAATGGCCGATACTGGCCACTTCAGACCATTGTACTAATAAAAGTAACATTATAAAGAAACCCTTAAGCTGTACCTTACATTGTTATTGACTTATAGCACCCAGATGTTTTATATAATTTTTATATAGAACTCTTCTTTAAGTATTAAGTTAATAAGTTGAATTTCCTTCAACTTGTTCGACGATCATCTGTAAAGATGTTTTTTAAAGCTTCTAAACAGTTAACACCAGCCAGCGGGGCAACCAGCACGACCATATTAATAGCAAATTAACTACCGTTCGCGCGTGGTAACGTACGAATTGGCTTGCGAAGAAAACATATCTATGTATTGTCATTAGCAATGTGGATGGATATACACTCTACTTCATCAATGAGCCACGCATCACAATGAGAATACTTGTCCACTGAAGGACATACGTGCTGTCACGGTCAAGTCAATCTCACTGGCTTGACCGTCATAAGAAATGTTTGACTGCAGTCACATAATGCTGCTAATGCTTGCCAAAATATTAAAGTTATGTTAGTCAAATTGTATGTCCTTTAAATAAGATTGTCACGAGTTGCCCAGGGCATGATTAATATTCATGTAATCGAATAATGCTCATAGTATGCTTAAAGTAAGTGATTTTTGAAAGAATCTTGTTGTATTAAAAAATGTAGCTTTACATTCCATGATCTAGAAATCAATTTTAAAATTAACATAAAGCTATGTAAACAACATAGATTTTTTTAGTCCAAGATAGATAGATAGATAAACACTTTATTGCACACACCATAATAACAGGAGTTTAAAATAGTTACCTCACTTTTTCTTCTTACCATTATGTAGATGAGAAAACGCTACACTGGATTATAATAAGCTGACAATCTTACGATTACAAAATAGGGCTAAAGTAGACAAGATTGAAGTTTGCCGAAAAAAATATTGAACGAGATCATTTGAAGCTTTCAAAAGATCAGGAAAAAATTTAGGAGTTGGAAACATTTCGAAACATAAGTTAAGTCGGGGACAAAACACAAAAGCTTTATGGGCGTGGATTTAACGACGGCTGTACGCTAAAAGAATTTTTAATTGTTTCTTTCTAAAGCTGAGATAAGATTTTATACGTCGTATATATTTACTGAAAGTTCAGAAAAGTCATTAATATATTTCTAAAAAAAACTTCTTTCTTTCTATTAACGTAGTTGTATATTGGCCAATTAAATTTTGTAATTGTTATATTCGATTTAGAATTTATTCATTTCAAACAAATAAAAAAAAAAACAAAAATGAAATCTGTCTAGTTTATACCGTTAAAATGTAACCATGGCTTATAAATAATATATTAAGATATTAGGAAATAATATTTAAAACCAAACAATATATTAAGATTTGATCATTTCTGTCCCAATTTCTGTAGTATTAATAAAAAAATCGAATAATCCTCCATAGAATGGTCACGCCCTTGGCGTAAATCTGTTCTAATTTGAAAACTTTCTTCACATTTCCAGCCTATTCACATTTTGCCATTGGGCAATATTACTTTCGCAATTTATACGCAGGTAGCCATCGAATACTGTTTTATATGGAAAAGAAAAATGGAAAACTTCAAATGCTTCGTAATTATCCAACTTCACACTATGTAAAACAAAACATATTATCTACTACATATGATTTAGCTTTATTTAGCTTATATAACTTCAGATATTATTATTTATAAGATTCTTACACATACTATAATTTGTTAGATTTTTGACACTGGGCTTCAAGACAAAATAATGTTTTGTGTCATTGCCCTATTTACGTCATTGTGTCTGGCACTGAGACAGATAGCAATAGAGAATGACGAGTTGGGCACAAAAAAGTATTTTTAATAAATCATTCGAAAGCCTTAACGATTATTGTAAAACCGATGCATGTATCCCTCGGCCAAAAAGTAAGTCGTGTATTCATCAATTTTCTCTATGAAAAAGAATGTAATTACGAGAAAAAATAAAAAGGTAAGAACCTATTGAGATAATGTTATTCATTCACGTTTTAGCTGCGTCAGTACCCTAAAAATATAATCTAATTATCTGTTTTTAAATAATTTATTACTGATGAGCTTTGATAAGAATATATAGTGCTTATGTACTTATGCTTTCAAGAACAGAGTGTAAGTTTTAAATGTAAGTTTAGTCCCTGTAGACGGTGAAAGTAAACGTCAAAAAAACTTACACTTCATGCCATAATCAATCAGAAATTAAATTATAAAATCAATCAGAAAATATTAACAGTTCTGAGTCTCCATTTCTTGTCTCTGAAGACAAGAATTTATTTCGGTTCAACA